AATAAAGATTTCCTGCTGTAGGCTACACGTAACTGGTTGACTTCCCATCATCTAAACAGATGAGGATAAAAGCACTTCTTCTGTTTTGTGGTCCTAATATTCATTATATATTTAGCAGGCCATTAGGATGTTTATGGAAATGATTGGGTTGATGATGCTGGGCTGCAGCTGCCTGTGCCAAGTTACTACACGCTGTAGATTTTTAGATATGACAGTCAGTGCACCAATGACTGCTGTAACCTATTTACCCTGTATCAGTGATAGAGATCTGCACAGGATGGCAGCCACATTCATGTCTGTACAGATTAATGAGGTGTGTCAGGTCTGCCAATGACAGGGGCATGTAGATTGAGAATGTCATTTCACCAAGTCAATGGCAGTAACTCATGCCCCTGCGTGTGTGTGGATTATGTCCCGAAACACACTTAGACCAAACTCTCCCAACCATCTGGGCTCTGGTCCTCAGCTGTCAGCTGATTGCTGCAACAGGGCTGCTATCCAAACCGGTGCCCCATCGTGGCAACCAGCCTTTACTGCAGCTGTCATGGTAAACAAGCACCAAGCCCCCTGGTTGATCGCCGCTATTGCTGCAGGGCACTGGGAGTACAAAAAGACGGATGACTCTCAAATGCTTCCCACTTGAAGCATTTGCCGTCAAGCCACTATAGTCAGAGCTGGAGTTGACAATGCAGCCGCTGCAGATCTTTGGTTGTTCGTTACGCACGACCGCTCCCTCCTTTTTCTCCTCCGTCTCCCAGCCCTCCCTCCTTGACTCCTTCTCGCTCCTTCTCCTCTGCTGAGCTAAGCCTGGCTCCCCTATGACCGCAGGGGGGGTATCCAGCGCCGCACCGCTGTGTGTGGGGGAGGAGGAGGGGAGAGTGCCAGGGGAAGAAAAGCTGGCTCAGAGCTCTGGTCATGTGCTCTGTTGTTGTTGCTGTTTCCTCAAGGAGGGATCCTGCCTGCCTCCTCAAAAGCAGAATAACGCATTTGCTTACTGTGCTGCCGAAAGCTCAAGAGCATCACCTTCAAAAGTGCAGAAATACAGAGCATGCCATATAGCTTAAGAACCACTGAGCTCCCGATAATGACTACTGAACTATCTATGCAGATATTCTAAGAACTACAAACAACTAATCACAGCATGATATTGACATCCAAACCCTCGTGGCTCACTTCACAAATAGCACATGCTTTGATGTAATCTCATATGAGTCACACTATATGCATACAGCTACAAAGGTACACAAACTGGGGGGTGAATGCTAATCTACTAATTGGCCAAACAAGGCTGAAGGAGGCAGAGGGGAGAGAAACAGGGGAAGAGGGGAAGTGGTATTGTGTGTGCGCCCTGTGTTGCTGTAGGCCCGATATATGTGGGCGTGCATATATGTTCATGTACAGTTTGTGTTTGCAGGGAAGATTTTTATCCCAGATGGGGAATAAATCTGGGACACTCTCCCAGATTTATCTCTCTGTCTAAGTGATATCAGCCCATAATTAACCACCTCACACCGCACTCCACAGTGCCAAAAATCCAACACGCCTGACTAATTCTTCTGAGGTCACACAGAGTTCATTTTTAATAGTGAAAGTAGCGCATAAATATAAATGCGTCCACCCTCCCCAACAATGGCAGGGCCTGATGCAAAGTTGTTTAATTATTTCTGCTTTTTGGGTGGTGTCGTCAGCTGATCCTGCTTTATTTTTCAGGAACGCTTTGCTCACACACACAGTCTCTTACAGTTTATAGTATAAAGGTGGATTTGCAGCAGAACAGGGACTGTCAACAGCACTGCTAGTGCCTTTACACACGATTAAAACGCCAAGACTGTAAAAACCTCGATTGGCAGTGTGGCTGGCATTTGTTGGGACTGGGGCTGAAATTTGCCCTTGAATGGTATAATTCGTCACAAGTTAAGTTGCTTTAAATAAAGTACATTATATTTCCAAAACGGTTTAAATTGAATTTCACGGGAAGAAATATTTTCAGTATGAAACAGTATGGTACGTTTTACTGTCAGGCCCTTGACATCAGTGAACAAATGCATGTTTGACTCACTATTCTACATCAGCCGAACAATGAACCACTGAAAATAGAACACCTCTTGAACCCGAGCGCCCACACAACAACAAACACCAGATAAATGCATGTTAAACATGTAGCAACATAATCATCCTGTATACCCACATAACGGGAAGATGTTAGGCTTAAAGCTTATGATAACCATTTCTACCTAAACAAAACAATTCCAACACCAAGCGACTAAATGAACATGCATGCGGGCATGGTGGTGCTAGCAATTTCACTACTTCATGCTACCCGCACAAATGAAAGCTATGACCCCACATATTCCAACGGCATATCTTATATCTTATCCCTCCACGACCAAACTTACTGAACCAGCAGCCAAAAAAAGAGTAGAAAATAAACTTCACTTTATACAGCCATAACCATAAACTATGTCTTACCTTGTTTTGTGATAAAAGGTTTTGTTCAAGGGCATATCAACGCTGCTAATGGCTAATCCAATTTCTTTGGTTAATTTTTGAGTAGCTTTCATTTGTAGATTTCATTTATTCATTTGCATGGCATGGAGGAGCATTTGCTCTCTGCCTTCCTCCAGCATCAAACAGACTCAGCCTTGCTTGTGAAAACACAGTCTATGTCTCCATCTTCTGGATGCACTCACTGCACTCATCTTAAAGATATTGGCCTTCAATAAAGGCATGAGCTGGTCAAATAGGTTATGATTCTCTTTGAATGGCAACATGCATAGAGGCCTGGTTGATTGTATTAAGATGGAAATAATACCTATGTGACATGGAAATTAAATGAAATTAGTTTTACAGTACCTAATGATACCCAAATGGCCAATCTACTAAAATCTCTCCAACTTTGCTTTGCTTCACTTTATTATCATCCGTCTGTGCACAGTTAACGTTCAGATGTTGTGATAAGGCTTGCTAGAAGTTTTGGGCTGCAGAACTTAATGGACCATAATACATAAAAATGATTGCATTTTGGAGAGAATGGTTGATATTTTTGGTCGGTATTAATTTTGGACATTCATTTTACCAGTTTCGTTTTAGTTGGAAACATGTTCTTAATAGGGAAATTTACTTTGACACATGAAATTGGTGGAGTGTCCCTTTAAGGTAAATTTACCCTGGTAATGTCCAACCAAATAGCTATTTATACATACAGGAACTTCATGTGCCTTCTGTGTATGTCCAGAGTTATTCAGGGAAAAACACGGACTACTACACAAAGTAGGTTGAGGGAAACTAGGTCGAACTAAGCGGGAAATAAAACACTCGATCACTCCTAGAAGTTAACTCTCCAAATGTATTTGATATCACAGACTGATGATATATAATGATACAGACCACTGAAAGGAGAAGACCCTAGGTTTGAGTATATTTACGATACAAATGAAGCGAGGTGGTCCTGACTTGTTGGCACACCCTTCCCCGCGCGAGTAAAAAGGGTTAGTTTTTTGGAATGAAGTCTGTCCCTCGTCTCCTGCCCTCGCAGTGATCTGATGCGACTGGATAGAGTTCAGAGAGAGAGAGGGGTAATATCTGAGAGCCCAACGGAGACAGAGTGAAGCTGATGTTTCTGAATCACTGGGTCAGTGGGTCACAGACATCACTGGACATCTAGAGAGCCAACAAGTCTGTTTTCTCAGAGAGCTGCAGAGGAATCGCTCATGATTGCCAAATGCAGCTGTGATTGGCACAGCAACACACGTGTACACACACACACACACACACACACACACACACACACACACACACACA